GTCCTGCTGGTCTGTAGTCGTCCTATTTGACTATAGTCGTCCTGCTGGTCTGTAGTCGTCCCGTTTGTTCAGGTCCTGTTTGGACTTTTATTTCTGCCACACAGCAACTATAACAAACACTCAACTATTTGAACACTTGTAGCATGAAACCCTTTTAAATAAGGATCCACCTGATTTCCTCTGATTCTTTCTACGTTTTGATGACACTTTGTGACATCACGTCTGATGAGGTGACACTCGGAAACAGCACGTTGGACATTCTTGGAGGATATAAGACGTGATTGAGATTCTGCTGCAGGACTCAGAGCTTTATATTTTAGCTCCTTTAATAGCTGCAGATCTTTGTCTAAAACCGTTCTGACGAGTCATGGAGTTGTTTTCATCCTGACAGGAGTTTTGAGGGTTTAGTTTAGTAGAAAGGTGTTAGAAGTGCCAGGAAAAGATAAAGAGGAGACATGGATGCAGTTAGAGGACATGGAGTGAGGACAAAGACTCGTCCCCTGCAGCTGCATTTTGGTGATTTGTTGTGGACAGATAAAGCCTTGTTCCCCTCTGTGGGCTCTCGTCAATACTTCATGACATCAGATGGTGTCTTCTTGGTGGCAGCTTGTGGAGAAAGACCCCCGGGGGTCCTTCTGTTCCGGGACATTCATGTCCAGCTTGTCCCATTTCTCAGAATCTGGGCTATTTACAGAAAATGGGCGTCCCTGTTAGCTTTCGGCTGCAGATCAGAAGGTGAATTCTCTGATTCAAATAAATTTTAGTAGAAACAGAGAAACTTCTTTTCTGGTGAAACTGAAGTGCTGAGAGCCGAATGTTTGCTATAACGTGCTGAAGATACCGACTCTTTAAAATCACTCGCTCCGTTAAAAGCTATACACAGTGAAATGCTTGCTAAAAACCAAAACAAGCAAAACACTAGCTCAAGGTAGCAAAAAGCTAAAAGTAGCTAAGCTGAAAATAGTAGAGCACTAACTGAAAGTAACAAAAGGCTAAATAAAAGCTAAATGCAAGAAAATGCTAGCTGAAATCAAACAAAAGTCTAGCTAACAGCCAAATAAGACCCAAGATGAGCTAAAGCTAAAAGAAGCAAATTGGTAGCTCAAAGCTAAAAGTCTGAAAAGACTAGCAGAGCCAAAAGTAGAAAATTGGTAGGCTAAAAGCTAAAATGAGCAAAGGGTTATTGGAACCTAAAAGTAACTAAATTATAGCTGAAAGTAAAACAATGTCAGCTAAAAATGTAGCAGAAGCTACATGCCTGTTTTAAAGTTGAAAGTAGCAGAAAAATTGCTAAAAGTTACAAGGAGCAAAAGCTTATGTAAAAGTAGCCGAAATGTAGCTAAGACTTAAAGCCAGCCTGCTGAAACAGATTCATGGGAGATCTCAAAGTGTTTCTGTGAGGAAAACATTCGTAAATGAAGTAAAATATATAAAAATTAGAAAAAGCAAAAGTCATAGCAGCTGAATGAGCTGAACCTTCTGCTGTACAAATGGCTAAAACTACGCTATGTTTGCTGAAAGTTCTAGGACTGTGGAACAGTGGAATCCAGCTTTCACAACATGCTCCTTTTAGTGTTTGGATCTTCATAAAGCTTTTATTATTGCTACTGTTGATTAATAAAATATATTTAGTCTTCATAAAGGTTTTTATTAGGGGTGCACCAGATTTCCTTAATTTTGGGAAATCAGAAATCAGCCGATACTTACCTCATGGCCATATAAAACAAGTTTGTATTGTTCTAGGATATGTTTTTCAATAAAATAATATTGGAAAATTGAAGGTGCATTGTGACCTTATAACGCCTGACTGTGTCGCTTATAAATCAAAATCGGTATCGGCAGCTCAGACTTTTTAGAAATCTGTGATCGGCCAGAAAACTGTGATTGGTGCACCCCTAATTTTTATTATTGCTACTGTTTATTAATAAAATACATTTCGTCTTCATAAAGCTTTTATACAAGTACAACAAGTGCTACAAGTACTTGAGTGTGCACCTGAACAACAACCTCAGCTGGAGCAACAACACCACCAGCCTGATCAAGAAAGATCATCAGAGACTCTACTTCCTCAGGCGGCTGAGACGAGCTGGTCTGGAAGCTCAGTCCTCACCTCCTTCTACAGGTGTGCAGTGGAGAGCATCCTGTGCTCCAGCATCAATGTGTGGCATGGAGGCTGCACAGCTGCAGAAAGAAAAGCTTTGCAGAGAGTGGTGAAGGCTGCACAGAAATCTGTTGGAATCAGCCTCCCCACCATCACAGACATCTACACCTCCAGATGCAGGAAGAGGGCCACCTGCATCATGAAGGACCACACTCACCCAGCACACACACTTTTTGCCCCACTCCCCTCAGGAAGGAGGTTGAGGAGCATTAAGTGTAGAACCACTAGACTGAGGAACAGCTTCTACCCTGAGGCTGTTGGACTCATGAATCTCTAACCAGAATAATTACTGTGAAATATCACATAATGTTGCTGCTGATCTGTTTTATGTCGCTGCTGATCCGTTTCATGTTGCTGCTGATCTGTTTCATGTTGCTGCTGATCGGTTTTATGTCGCTGCTGATCGGTTTTATGTCGCTGCTGATCCGTTTCATGTTGCTGCTGATCTGTTTCATGTCGCTGCTGATCTGTTTCATGTTGCGTTCATTCGTGCTCATCTGCTCACACAGACTCATGTTCGTGCTGCTGTTCAACGTATTGTTTTTATGCTATCAGTGCTTAGTGTATATTTAGTTGATGTTTTTCTTGGTTCATATCTTAGATGTTATTACTGTTTTTCTTAGACATTTTATTGTTGGATGTAACTGGGACCCTGTGAACATAATTTCGTTCCACCACATGTACCACATGTGGTGCGAATGACAAATAAAGAACCTTGAATCCTTGAATTATTGCTACTCTTGATTAATAAAATAAATTTAATCTTCACAATGTGAGGATGAAGATCTGTGGACAATACAAGGACACCCGAGCTACATTTGCATGTTGGGCAGTGTTAAATTTTAAACACAACAACCTCTGAAATATTCATGCCCCGGTCCGGTGACAGGCTGTGTGGCAGCAGGAAACGCTCGGAGACATTTAGGAGTCAGGGACACTGAAAGGAGACGCTCTGAGACATTTAGGAGTCAGGGACACAGAGGAGACGCTCTGAGACATTTAGAAGTCAGGGACACTGAAAGGAGATGCTCTGAGACGTTTAGGACTCAGGGACACTGAAAGGAGATGCTCTGAGACATTTAGGAGTCAGGGACACTGAAAGGAGACACTCTGAGACATTTAGGAGTCAGGGACACAGAGGAGATGCTCTGAGACATTTAGGAGTCAGGGTCACTGAAAGGAGACGCTCTGAGACATTTAGGAGTCAGGGACTCTGAGAGGACACTACTGAGGCGGTAGAAGCAAGACACTTCAGCTACATCAGATCGGATGTTTATGTGGAGTGATCATTTAGCTGATGATAAGTGAATGATCAATTGTTTAGCTGATGGTGAGTGAAAGAAAAAATGTTTAGCTGATGGTCAGTGAACAATAAAATGTTGAGCTGATAGTCATCCATCCATCCATCCATTATCTTCCGCTTATTCCAAAGTCGGGTCGCGGGGGCAGCAGCTTGAGCAGGGAGGTCCAGACATGTCTTTCCACAGCCTCTTCCAGCTCTTCTGGGAGGATTCCAAGGCATTCCCAGGCCAACCGAGAGACATAGTCTCTCTAGTGTGTCCTGGATCTTCCCCGGAATCTTCTCCCAGTTGGACATGCCCGAAGCACCTCCCCAAGGAGGCATCCAGGGAGCATCTGTACCAGATGCCCGAACCACATCAACTTCATTCATGAGAGTCCATAAAAGTTATGAACAGAATTGGTGACAATAGGTAGCCCTGGCGGAGTCCAACTCCCACCCCGAAGGGATCCGACTTACTGCCGGCAATGCGAGCCAAGCTCTCGCATCACTTGTATAGGGACACAGTATGTATAGGAAATGTATAGGGAAAAGCCCATTTCAACGGGCCACCAATCCCATATTCACAGAGCGCCCCCCACAGTGTACCCCGAGGAACATGGTCGAATGCCTTCTCCAAGGCCACAAAACACATGTAGACAGGATGGGCAAACTCACATGACCCCTCAAGGACCCTAGTCAGGGTAAAGAGCTGATCCAGTGTTCCACAACTAGGATGGAACCCACATTGTTGCTCCTGAATCTGAGGTTCAACCAACAATCGGACTTGCTTTTCCAGTACTTTTTTTTTCTCTCTGTACTCCGGTGAAG